AAAAAAAAAAAGGAAAAAGAAAGAAAAAGAAAAAGAAAACAAGAAAAAGAAAAAAGGGGGGGGGGGAGGCAGGCACTCAGGAGGAAGAGGCATGTGGATCCCTGTAAGTTTGAAGTCAGTCTGATCTGCATAGTGAGTTCTGGGCTAGCCAGGGCTACATAGCCATCTCCTCCATGTGGCACCCCAAGACAGACAAGTGAAGAGACAGAGCTGAGGGAAGAGCAGCTGGAGGAACCACAGTGATGGCATTTTGGGTGGAGGTTTCTCTTGTGGGTGATGGGTGTTCAAAAGTTACCATTTGGACTAGTTATGTGGCTCTGTGAACACTCAGCCACAGAACTGTCACCTGCATGGTGGACTGTGCAGTCTGGGAAATGTCATCTCTGTAGCTGGGTTTGAACTGGATATGGGATGCTTGTGATTGGCCAGTCAAACCCCAGTTTGGCCTGTGAAAACTTAGTGAGGTGCACCTATGTGTCACATCCTTTCAGGAGCTTCAGGAAGAGGTTTTCAAAAGCATAATACCCAGCCAGGCCTGGCGGCTCACCCCAGTAACCTCAGCACTGGGGAGGGGAAGGCAAGGGGGCTGCTGAAATGTGAGGTCAGCTGGGGTTACAGTGAGACCTCCCAGAGGAAAACAAAGTGCCGTTCTCCAGTTTAGCACCAGGCAGTGTGAACAAGTCCAGGAGAGGCCAGCCACTCCAGAGTGAGGACCAAGGAGGGCAGCTGGGGCTGGGGCAGGTCCTGGTGACTCAGAGGGACATACGGAAAGACTCCAGGGCTGTGGACACAGCCTTCCTGTGAGCCAGAACCTGAGGCAGCCACTGAGAAACCCTGGGTCCAAGGGCTTGGGGACCTGGCTGGAGGTACAGCTGCTGGGGGAGCCACGGGCAGGATGGTGAGCAAGACCACAGGCTTCTGGGGCAGGACACTAAGAGGGATAGGAATGTTTTCTAGGGAAGGATCTGGAGAGGTGGGCCTGTAGGCCAGGAGCTGTACCTTATACGTGGTGGGTTAGAGCAAGTGTTCAATTCCAGCCCCGACACTTCCCAGCTCTGTGACCTTGGGGACATGGGGCCACTGTTTGGAACCTCAGTGCCCCATCAGTAAAACTAACAATAGTGTTCACGTATTAAGTGAGCATAGCCCCCAGTGATTAGAAAGTACCCAGCACTTAGTGAACAGTTGGTAACGTTGGCCGTCTTTGTCATAGTGGAGGACCAAAGCCGACTGCGGGCCAGGCATGCATGCTGGGCAGTTGGAGGTCACTCTCCATGTCTAACTTTCCTTTCCTCCTCTCCTTGTGTCCTGCCTTTTCCAGAATTTCTGGGGCTTGGCTGCTTGGGAACCAACCACATCAAGGGGTTTCTGCAACAAATCAGAGCCTTGGAGATGCCAGTGGGGAGGGAATTTTCAAGCACACGTAAGATTTATGTGGAGAGTCTGCCCCGTCAGCCCCGTGCAGGTCAGCTCTGTGTGCATCTATCAAAAGGTTTTTACAAGGCTCTGAAGTTCACTGCAGCATCCTCGGGTTCCTGAACGGGAGGGTTTGGGGGGGGGGAGCATGAGAGTGGTCTCCTGGCCCCCATGCCCTGATCCTTTGCTGTGAGCACAAGCTGGGATTTTCACACAAGGGCCTTTGCAACGTTTGGAATGCTCCCTGCCTACACCATCTCAGGACCCAGAGACGGACAGTGAGCTGCCGCCTCCTTGCTCTGAGACGGGGGTGTCTCGAAGCGCAGTGGCCGCTGAGATGGGGTTACCGGCACCCTGTAGAAGCTGCATGTTTAATGAGTTAATGGAGTCAGTCCATACGAAGGGTAACAAAAGGGCCTGTGAGCTGGCTCAGTGGTACAGGTCCTTGGCACCAAGCCTGACGCCCAGAGTTTAAAGCATGGAACCCACATAGAGGAAGAAGACCGGTTCTCACAGATTGTCTCTGACCTCCACGGTATGAGGTGGCAGACCCCTCTGTCCTCTGTGCTGGTTAGTTTTCATCCCTTTGGCACAGACTAGTGTTCTGTGGGAGGAGGGAGCCTCAACAGAGGGACTGCCTCCATCAGACCGGCCTGGGGCCTCCTCCATCAGACCGGCCTGGGGGCCTCCTCCATCAGACCGGCCTGGGGGCAAGTCTGTGGGGCTTTTTCTCCACGGTTGATTGATGTGAAGGGGTCCAGACCAAGGTGGGCAGTGTCATGCCTAGGCAGGGGGTCCTGGATGTGAGGTGGAAAGCTGCGTTCCTTCATGGCTCCTCCCCGATGCTGTCTGAGTTCCTGCCCTGATCTCCCTCAATGACGGACTGCCATCAGGACCTGTAAACCACATAAACCCTTTCCTCCAAGGTTGGTTTTGGTCATGGTATTTATCACAGCCACAGAAAGCGAACTAGGGCGCTCCCTCTAATCACACACACACACATACACACACACACACACACACACTGTGTATATATGTATATATTATGCGTGTGCACATCTATGTATATATGTACATATGTATATATACATAAATGTAATCTCTAAAATGCAACAAAATTTCACCAGTCTCACCCTGGTCTCAGGAATTGCATCTCTGAACAAGTCCCTGCTCTGGGGACCCGATTCCCTTCATCTAAAGCAGAGGCAACACTTCTCCAGCCACCAGGCCCAGCTGTCAAATGCTAATGGGTATGACTGGCCCCAGTCAGCCACCCAGGGATTGTTTTATTTTTTATTGTCCATAGTAACATTCTTTCCCTCTGAGGAGGATGTATTTTTGCCAGTATCCTGCCATGTTTGAAGCTCTTTCTGTGGAAAGTAGTGAAGTGCTTGCTCTATCCAGATGGAAAAGAAAGGGAAGGGAAGGGGGGGTGGGTAGGGAGAGGAGGGGAGCGGAGGGGAAGAGAGGGGAGGGGGGAGAGCAAGAAAAGGAAGGGCAGCCAAAGATCAGTTTTCCTCTTTTGGTCCCCAGCTAGCTGGAGGGCAAACACAGGGCCCAAGCTGCCTCTGTAGAAGCAGATGAACAGGGACTGGGTCCTGGGAAGGATGCTGGAGGAGCGCACACAGAGGAAGAGAGAAGTGGTGCAAGGAAGAGTAAGAAGGATGTCAAAGCTGCAGCCTGGGAGAAGCTGGGAGCCTTGGGATAGCTGGAATTTGATTTCAGGCTCGGAATGATGGATATATCGAGCAGCCGATGACTGCAGAGGAGCAGGGTGATGCTGGTGGGATTTTTTTATTTGTTTTAATTTATTATATATTTGGCTTCTCAAGACACTGTTTATCTGTGTAGCTCTGGCTGTCCTGGAACTGGAGACTTGCTCTTCAGACCAGACTGGCCTCAAACTCAGAGATCTGGCAGCCTCTGCCTCCCCAGTGAGGGGATTAAAGGCATGTACCACCACCACCAGGCTTATTTTTAATATTTTTATTCTTTGAGAATTCCATGCCTGTATAAAATGCATTTTGATCTTACCTGCCTCCTTCCGAGGTTTTATTTTTTGAGACAAGGTTTCACTTTGCAGCTCAGGCTGGCCTTGAACTTCCCATCCATCTCCAGGGTGCTGGGATTATAGGAGGTACCATCCTGCCAGATGGCCTGATGATTCTAGAACAGAAGGCATCATGAGGTTTGGAGTCCTGCATCCCTGGTCCCAACATTGATTGGGCCCTGTGAAACTAGGACAGTGCAAGGCAGGCCAGCCGGGGCTCATCCCCTTGGGAGACACAGCCGGAAACAGACATAGTACTGTGTGGTACCGGGAGCTGGAGAGAGCTAGGGGGAAGCTGGGAGATGCCCCACAGGCAGCCAGAAATGTGAGCTGTGCCCAGATGCTCTGTACCTTTGCTGCATGTCTCCATGGAACCTGTGGGCTGTGAGTTCCCTGCCCTGAGTTGGGGCTACTGGGAGCTGCAATATTGCCCATGCCTTGAATAGTGACAGGTATGGAAGGCACATGGCCCTTCCACAGCCGCAGGCAGGGGGATGACTCTGCTGGATACCCTCAGTCTAGATTCTCTCTCTCTCTCTCTCTCTCTCTCTCTCTCTCTCTCTCTCTCTCTCTCTCTCTCTTGTTTTTTGAGACAGGGTTTCTCTGTGTAACAGCCCTAGCCGTCCTGGAACTCACTTTGTAGACCAGGCTGGCCTGGAACGATGCTATGACTCTTGAGAGGCATGTGTGGATGGCTCGATCCAGTTTGAGCTTTGCACAAGTGAACGGCCAGGCTGGGCGCTGGAATGGCTTTGGAACATGAAGTAGATACTAAGGCATTTTGGTGTCTGAGCATCTGGCACCACAGAGCTGGCTTTGTGTCCAGGCCAGAGCCTGTGAGAACTTTAGTTTTCTTAGATGCATAGTTGGGGACACACGAAAGAAGAACACTTAGGGTGAATCACTCTTAACATCTTTCTAAGGGGTGTGTGTGTGTGTGTGAGATGGGGGTACGTCTTCCCACTCAACCTGCTCTTTCTATTGGCTGATTTCTCCTTATTCTGAACCTCAGTCTTCTCATCAGACAGCCGGGGTGCAATGACATGGCACGGGCCCTGTGGAGATTCAGAAACTGGCCCCTGCAAGGCCCAGGCTTGTGCTCAGCACTTGCCCAGCATGCTGGGACACCACCACTGCTGTGCTCCACATGGGGGTGGGGTTGCTGGGGTCCCTCTACTCTTTGCCTTTGAGACAGGGTCTTACTGTGTAGCCCAGGCTGGCCTTGAACTTGAGAGCCTCTTGCCTTGGTCTCTGGAGAGCCTGGTCTGTCAGCATTGCCTAGGTTCTGCTTTTCCCAAACCTAAAAAAAAAAAAAATGTATCCTTTTGTTAGCTCTGCTTTCCTGATGGAGAAACAAAGACCCAGAGGGTCAGGAGCCCCCTCAGCCTCCACCCTCCCAGCAAGGCTGGTAACTGTTGCTGTGACGTCTGTCTGATGTGTCTGGCTGTGCTGTGGCTCCACCCCCATGTCACCCACCCCCAGATGACTCAGCAGCGTCACCTGTCTTCCTCCTCTGATCTGTGCCAGGGGATTTCCTGAGTCATTCACCCATTGAGAGAAACAGAAATCTGCCCACCCCTCCACCCCACCCACTTCACCCACAGAAGCACACACATGTATTCCTGGACTTGTGCACACAAACACATATGCATGTGTATATAACTATGCATTCACACACAAATGTATGTACAATACCCACACACACATGTATGTCTGTACTTGTTCACACACACGTCTATATACACAGCACATGTGTGTAGTAGCACACACATGATAACATGCACACACATACATCCTCCCATCGTGTCAGCCTTCTGTGCCGGGCTCTCATTTGGCCCACTGTGGAGGGAGCATGTGCCCATTGCACATAGCAGAAGACTGAGGTTGGTATAGTTAAAAGAGGTCTGCCTCTGTCTGAGGTACACACAGCTGGCGGAATGGGGTTTGGGGCTTTGGATCCAGGAATGGAGCCGGTCCTGGCTCTTTAGTGTGCAGGATGGACCTGGAGGAACTGGCTCTTGGGAGATCAAAGGATGTGGGAAGCAGAAGATGGCAAAGGAAATAAAATGAATGATGAACAGATGGGAAGGCACATGGGCAACTCCAGCTGAGTCCCTCCAGATGAGCCTGAAGGGCTCTGGAGATGGGCTGAGGGGCCTTCACCTCCAGGAAACCTGCTGTGCTTGGGCAGAAACAGCTTCCCCAGGCTCCTCCTTCCTATGTGGTGAGACCCCCAGGCCTTCCTTGGGTAGAACAGAAAGGGTTCCTTCATGAGGGAGCTCCCATCCATTGGCCTCGCCTCCAGCAAGGTATGCACACTGCCTGCAGTCAGGGGATTGCACCCCCCCCCCCAATTCTGCAAGACAGTTTGCTGAGCCAGCACTTTTCTGGGCCAGGGAAGGAAGAGTCCCATGCTCTGTCGTGTTGACATCCCATCTGGTTGATCCTGGAGCCCTGGAATGTCAGGGACTCCCAAGAGGCCTTTCTCCTGCCCATTTACACAGGGTACAGGGGCCTTTATTTACATGTCAGCTCACCAAGTGGGGGCCCTGGGGACAGGAGGGTAGACAGCTAGCAGGGTAGACAGCTGGAAGCCGCTGGGAAGTAGAGGCTCACGGTTCTGAAGCTTCAGGGGGCCCTGTTACAGATGGGAGACTTGAGGCCCAGAAGGGTTTGGGATTGCTTGGTGGCCCAGCCTGAACCAAAGGGCACCATCTGTATGTGTGTGTGTGTGTGTGTGTGTGTGTGTGTGTGAGAGAGAGAGAGAGAGAGAGAGACAGAGACAGAGACAGAGACACAGAGAGAGACATGTATACGCGACTGTGTGCTTGGGAGGCGCCAAGGACAGTCTCCAGCAGCTTCTGGGTGACAGGCCAGATGTCTGCCTGAGGAGGCTGCATACTCCATGCAGAACCCTGCTGCCTGGGTCTGAATTCTGCCTGGCCTCTTCTTTTGAGTCATAAAATGAGGGACAGTCATCCCACACTTGCTTCTTGGGGGAAGTGGCTAAGAAGCATGAAACAGTGCTGAACTTGGCCTGCAGGTCTGTCTCTGTGTTAAACTGCTACAATGTATCTGCATCCAATAGGTTAAGTCGTGGGTATCTGCGATCTCTGCTGTAACACTTCAACAAGAAGGAAAAGGGTACAGAGAGGTTGAGTTCTTAGTCCCAGGACACACAGTATCCTTCCTACTCCTACCCCTAGGGTGACCCGGTGGCCCCTGGCCAGTCGGAGTGGGGGTAGGCTGTGAGGACTCTGTCTCCAGGGTGATGCAGAAGACAAGTCCTCTTCCCTCTGTCTCTAAAACTAGGGCACTGGGCTCAGAAAGGTGACCCCAACCCCGGGCTACTGAAGGGCCAGCCCCCCCCCCAGCTTTGGAGGCCGGGGTGGGGGTGCCCTTCCCAAGCCTCCCTTGGTACCCATCGGTCCTCACCTGGCTCTAATGCGTCCGGCTTGACCTTTCCTTAAAGATCAGCGGCAGCGGCTGATGGTTTCGTGGGTCCCAAAGGAGACCCTTCAGACAGCCCGAGCCACGGGCTGCAGAGCCCCTAATTGGAGCAATGAATCACCGCGGGCTCCTGCTGGACACAGAATAGACAGAGGAGCTGAGCGCTATTGTGCCATAGTTTGGGACACAGGGGGGGTGAGAGAGGGTGGGGAGGGAGGAGGACGGGGGCGGGGTGCGGGGGTTGGGGAGAGAAGAGGTCAGGGGAGGAGGAAGGAGGAGGATCAAGAGGAGAGGATGAGTCAGGGGAGGAGGGCTGGAGAGGAGGTAAGGGGAGGAGGTTAGGAGGAGGAGGAGGAGGAGGCAGGGGAGGAGGGTAGGGAGAGGAGGATTAGGAGAAGGAGGAGTCGGAGTCCGAGGAAGGGGGGAGAGGGAGGAGGAGCCGGGGTGGAGGCGGGCAGCAGGGCGGCGCGAGGGAGGGCTTCCCCGCCTCCGCCTCCCTCCCGCGCCCTCCGCCCCGCGCCGCCCCGCCTCCCTCCTCCCCAATTAAATGA